TGTCAGGCCCGATGGTCGGGCTACTGGGATCCTCACTCCTGGCTGGGGGGCGCCGTGAACTTCTGCTTCTTTGCGGACTACCTGCTGTCTTGCGGCTGCCATGGTTTAGGGTTTAGGGTTTAGGGTTTAGGGTTGAGGACCGTGGCCTCAGAGCCCAAGACCCGCCTCAAGAAGTGTATGATATGGCGTCTGGTCTAACGTGCCATGCAGCCTCAAGCATCTTGACTGTTCAAGCTTGACCCCTGACACACAAGGAGTTGACTGAACGGCCGGAGTGAGGGAGACTTTCCGGCCGTGCCCTCAACTTAAGCTCCCCTTTGCGACCCACCTTTTCAAGTCGGGGGGTGGGAGTCAAAGCCCTTCCAGGGGAGTTATGGGCGGGTGGGCATCTTGAGAAGCTCCCGTGTGCATTCCAGGTTCCTGATTTCTGGCATCTCCTGCCTGCGGACACTTGGAAGAAGTGAGGTGTGGGATCTCGACCTAAACCCTACCCTAGACTGAGCAGCAGGACAGGCAGGGGCCTCCCAGGGCAGGGGGCGCCCAGGAGATTCCACGGACCTCTCCAAATTTTCTGGAAGAGGGGCGGGCCCCGGCCATGGTCTCCCAGGCAGCACCAAATCTCACACACTGACTTCTAGCACCGCTTAGAAACCCAATCCTTTGCTACCAGTAGGGGGCGAAGGCGTCAGCCAACCCCCAACCCCAACACCAAATCTCAAACGCTGACTTCCAGGGGTGCGAAGCTCATCCCATGCTAAGGGGCGAAGGCATCAACCCCTAACACCAGATCTCAGACGCTGACTCTTAGAAACCCGAGGATACGCGCCACAGTCAATAAGAATGATATAGAGCTCGATCAGAAAGCAAGGAAACTTTATAAACCTGGTAGTAGAGTAGCTAACCTTTAACCTTTTTGGGGTAGTATAATCCCCTTATAATCCCGAAGGTTAACCTTTAGTTCCCCCAGGTTACTGGACTACTACACCCTAAACCCTAAACCGCCGAAACCCTAAACCGCCTAAACCCTAAACCGCCTAAACCCTAAACCCTAAACCCTAAACCCTAAACCCTAAACCCGAAACCCTAAACCCTAAACCCTAACCTGCAAATGTCAAGACGGGGAGCGCAAGTGGGGGGAGCGGGGGTGGGGCTCCACAAGTCTGGGCGCGCTTCTGGGTGCTAAATTAGCACAAGCGCGCGCCCCTTCAATACCCTGAAGCCCCTAAACCCTAGACCCTACCTGGACCCTAAACCCTACATCCTAAACACGTAAACGCTTGCGAAATGGGTGGGAAAATCCTAAACCCTAACCCCAAACCCTAAACCCTAAACCCCACCTGCCAGATCATCTTGTGCATGGCAGCGCAGCCCGCGCGGCGTAGACATGGTCAAGAGTGGCCCTAAGAGGCAAGGTCCGGGGTGGTTTGATGATATTCTTATATGATTATATTTTTGTTATTGCAGAAACATGTTTGATATTGATGTTTGTCTTATATTGTCATATTCCAAATCTGTGATATTCTTATATTTGTGGTGTTGTTATGCTGTTGTAGTATTACGTGGTTATTGTATTATTATACTATTATAGTGTGATACTACAATATTGTTATACTACTATACTACCATACTATTATACTAGTATATCATTATTCTGCCATTTCATTATTTTCTTATTTTGCCATTCGATGATTTTGATTTTGTTATGTCTCTCTATTGTTGGATTGTTGGATTAAGATATTCTTTCATATTAATTTCTATCTTATCTTCACGTGATTATACGCTTATACTATTCTGCCATTATACGATTGTACGATTATACTGTTCTGCAAGTAGGACTGTTCTACTATTCTGAAACTATACGATTGTACTATTATATCATACTGTTCTACAATTTTTGCTATAGTATCAACCTCAGGGTGGACCAGGGCTTCGGGTTTTTTTTACTTCGGGCCGTTTGAGGCGAGTGACGCTGAGTGTGGACGACGGGGTCCACCAGGCTCGGAAGCATTTTGGGGTTTAGGGTTTTTGGGGTTTAGGGTTTGGGGGTTTAGGGTTTAGGGTTTTTGGTTTTTGGGTTTAGGGTTTGACGGTTTGTCGTGGCGGAGGGGGGGGGGTCATGCATTCAAGCCTTCGGCGATGGATCTGCGGCAAAGATGCAACCCTTCTTCCGTTCACAAGCGCCCATGTGGATGAGAATGGAGCGAAGCCGTGAACCCGATGACTAGGTGGGAGATGAGCTGCGAGAGCGCTTGGGAGGCAGGGGTCCCGCCGCTTTAAGTGAAGTACGCTCTGTGCCCTGAAGCCCCTCTAGCTGGTCAGTCATGTGCGGGGTGTACGAAAATCAGGGACCACGGCCCGAATTTCGTCCCCCAAGTAGCAGCATTCCCTCGTAATACGGGCCCGAATACGGTGCCCCTAAGCTCGCAAACTTCCATTTTGGGGGCTTCTTGGAGAAGGCAGGAGGTGACGTCTCTTGCACCTCTACAGCTCCGTTTGTGGCATCGTGTTGCTTTCATTCAATAGACCCTTTGACACCAGGGATTTGCACCCCTCACCCCCCCTTCTCCCTAAGGGTAGTAGAGGGCAGCTGCTGGGGCACCCAAATGCAAAGCCCTAAACCCTAAATCCTAAACCCTAAACCCTAAACCCTAAATACCGCACCCGATGAATGTGGGCGTCTCGCCTCAGAAAATGTGACTTTAGATGAACCTTTCGGGCAGTCCCCCGTTCATGCCTCGGATTTTGAGTAGCAGATGGTCATGACTTGGAGGTTCACGGCTATTTATAAGCAGGGTCATACGTATGGTCATCATACAAATTGCCCCACTTAGGGTACTTCTAACCCTACTTATACCTACCCAGGAACCTCCCAGAATGCCTATAAACCCTAAGCCCTAAACCCTACTTATACCTACCCATGAACCTCCAAGTGTAGTTATCACATGGATGCGTGCTACGACGAAGCTTCCGGCCGGAGGCTGTTTGCTTTCACCTGGGCAGCGCTACTTAGATGCTTGGCTTGTTGCAGAAGAGTTTTAGGGTTTAGGGTCTAGCCCTGAAGCAAAAAGGGTTTAGAGGATGAAATACGCAAGTTTCGGAAGCATAAATGACATGTCCTCTTGTCAGAACATGCTCGGTTGCAGCACGTCGTAGTTCGCCTGCTTAAGCAACCATGCGCCGAATGTTCGGTGATTCGTCATGTCTTGAGTATGGACTTCATTTTTCTGAAGCATCTCAATGTGAGCGGTTGTTACAAGGACATCGGCCCAGTTGCTGACCTGGAGCTGCGTGGACAGCAGAGGCAACAGGACAGGCCTGATGCAGACCCTGCTTTATGTCTGTGCATGTCCTAGTCGAGTTATCAACCGAGGCAAGCGACAATAGCCATGGCCACAACCACGACAGCTTCGGTCACGATTGAAAGCAGCAACAGCAACCACAAGACAGGACAACAAGTACAGCAGATCGAATCATGGTCGGTCGCTCTTGTCCAGGACAGCGTTGCGCCCGCTACATTGGGCGCCCAAAGTGAGCTGGACGGTCCTGTGGAATAGCCCAGTGCCTCCTTGCTTGGAGGTTCATCGGTAGTTACGGGGAGGGTTATAAGTACCCTGAATGGGGTTAGAAGTAGAAGCACCATACTTAAAACCCTACTTCTCCCATGAACCTCCAAGTGTCCATGAGGGCCATCTCGGCCTAAGACATGCTGAGGGCCTGAGCCCGAAACTCACAAAGCCTGGGTTGCTGGTGGGCGCGGCTAGTGTGTGCAGATGCTGTCGCCCGCCTGGCACATCGATTGCTTCAGCGGATCTCTCCTGCCTGGAAAGAGATGACTTCCCGGACCAGTCTCGAGCAGCCTTCGAGTTTTTTGGGCTTACTTGGAGGTGCATGGGTAGCTATAAGTAGGGTCATAAGATAATAACCATACTTATATATCCCTGCTTATGACTACCCATGAATCAAGTAGACACTTCCTGAAGCCAGAAGAAGCATATATTTTTCAACTTTGGAGAGTCGTCTGGGTTTGGAGTTCGGAGGCTTGGGCTTTGCAGCCCGTAGCCACCTAGGGCTTGTAACCTTGCCACCACCTAAAAAGGTACCTGCAAAGGGTTTAGGGTTTAGGGTTTCGGGTTTAGGGTTTAGGGTTTAGGGCAGCCTGCCTAGATCATACCAACGGCTAAGCTGTAGTTCGCTTGGCAAACTGGACAAGTAGCATCAGCTCCTGTCCAGATTGTGGAGGGTTTAGGGTTTAGGGTTTCGGGTTTAGGGTTTAGGGTTTAGGGTTTCCTTCAGAAGCCCGGCAGCCAAAGGGTTCAGGAGACCTCACCAGGCCATACTCACCAGGCAGGTCGTTGCATCCTGTGTTTGCCCTCTGGAAGCAAGCAGTCGCAGTGCAGAGATGGCCTGCTATGGGCAGTTCTAAATCGGTTCACAAGTAGCCCGAATGGGCATCGTACATATTGTCACATATTGCTACTTGTTCTTGCACATGTTTCCATCTGAGTACATTGTTTCATATTATTACATATCGGTACGTGTTATTACCTTTATTGCAAACGATTAGTAACAGCAGCATGTTATTACATGTTGATACATATTGTTATATGGTTACATCTTATGATAAATCATTGCATATTATTGTGCGTAGAATTACATATCATTACATATGACTACAAAATCACTACAGGTTGTTTTATGATGGCCTAGGCTTGAAAACAGGGAGATGCTGCGACTCGCTCTTGTTTGTTGCTTTATGGATTTCAGGGTTTAGGCCCCCATGGCAGTTGTCCAGTGCCTGACATTCACTGGGCGCCTGTGAGAGAGAGAGAGAGAGAGGGAGGGTTCTGGGGGGCCTGTGCTACCAGCATTCTCCATATTTACATAAGTGCTTGTCACATAATCTGATCTACTGAAACCGGAGCTTGATCTCTAAGGCCTAGAGCCACGGGCCTCTGAAACCAAACGCGGCCATTAAACCCCGCTTGCATTCGTGTGCCGAGGCCCGGAGAGAAGCGCAGGCCGACTCTTTGGCGGGGTCGGAGATGTATGATTTGTTCATGGCATCGTGAGAAATGGGAGGTGGTTCTAGACCTCAGGTCCCTTCTGGGGGTTGTTGTGCAAGTCCCTTCCGGAGGTTCCAGACTTTGGGTGCTTAAGGCTGAAGAGGCGGGAGTTTCGACTCGAGGGAAAAGTCCCGCTGCTTAGACGCCCAACAACCGAGGCCAGCTGGATCTTGTAACATTGCAGGCAACAAAGGAGCAGTGCCCCGCTTCAAGCAAGTAGTTGCTGCCGATGATGTCCGGATCTCCCCTCAGGTAGAAGCAGCGGTGAACGACATCAAGATGAGCCTGGGACATGAATCGGTGCTCTTTTGTGTTGGCTACATGTTTTCAAGGCTGTTCAGGATTTAGGGTTTAGGGTTTAGGATTTAGGGTTTAGGCTTGCAGGATTTGAAGTTGAGGGCTTGCACGCTGGAACGTACTCCGTGTGGGCAAGAGGGCCAACTTCGAGACCCAATTGAATCCCTTAAAATGTCGGCTCCTGCTTTGTTGGGCTCTGTCTTTGACAGCGGTCCTCTATGGAAGGTCCGTTTGCATCGGGCTCTATCCAGGGCTCTCTGTGATCATGTATGGTGAACCCTGTAACCCTACCGCATGACCCTAAACCCTAAACCCTAAACCCTAAACCCTAAACCCTAAACCCTAAACCCTAAACCCTAAACCCTAAACCCTAAACCCTAAACCCTAAACCCTAGACCGCCGCCGGTCCAAAGTCGCCCTAAAAACCTTGAAAGAGAGATCAGAGTAGGGCTTCCACGGCACTTTCAATGGGCTGCTGGGCAGAATGCCCACGGAGCGAACCCCTCATGCTCACGGTTTAGGGTTTAGGGTTTAGGGTTTAGGGACACCCCTAGAACAGTGCCTTCACGCGCTTGCGCCATGGGACAAGGGCCGTGCGCCTGCGATCGCAGCCCTCCTGTCACCACCCAAACAATCAAGGGCGATGAGGATGCTGCGGCCTTCGCGACCGGCGCCGTGGCTGAAGCAGATGCTGGTGGTGGAGCGATGAAGGCGGAGTCTGCCTCCAGCGATGCCACATATGAGGGGGGCTGGCTGAACAGCCAGAAGCACGGCTCCGGGAGCTTGACGTTGAAGGATGGCTCAAAGTATGTCGGTCAGTTCAAGCATGACAAGAAGGAGGGGAAGGGCATCTACCATTATCCATCTGGTGCCAAATATGTAGGCGATTGGGTCAACGACCTTCAGGAAGGGGAAGGCAAGGAGGAGTGGGCAGACGGATCTGTCTTCGAGGGCCAGTTCAAAGCTGGCGCCAAGCACGGACGCGGTAAGTTTGTGTGGTCCACGCTGTGTCGCTATGAAGGCGAGTTTGACAGCAACGACATGCATGGTGAGGGGGTTTACACTTGGAATGACGGCCGGGGCTACTCTGGCCAGTGGAATCGCAACACCATGGCTCCCAGAGGAAAGATGTGGTGGTCAGACGGACGCACTTACGAGGGGGAATTCTTGGATGGGCGGAAGCATGGCGAGGGCACCCTGAAGTGGCCAGATGGGCGGTCCTACAGCGGGCAGTGGCAGGATGGCAAGCAGCATGGCGCTGCGATAGCGCGGACGGCCAAGGGCCTGCGGCGCAAGAGCATCTGGAAGGATGGGAAGTTCGTGGAGTGGGTGGGCGGCATTATCGATGAAGATGGGGAATCGGCTGCCCCAGAGGAAGCGAGTCCTGCCCTGCCCGAAATTTAGGTGCCTTGAAGATAATGATGGAACTTAAAAATCCACACGATCTCTCGAGGGGCCTTGGGTCTCCCGTTTCACCAGATGCATCGCCTTGGCCGCTCAAGCAGAACACTGAACAGAAATGAGCCGTGTCAAGGAATGCGTGTCCCCTATGATTGCAAGACACCGGCAGAACTTGCGTGTTTGTGCCCTCAGTTGGCCATTGCTGGCCTGCTGAGGAGGCGTCTCAGGCTCATCGTGCACTTCTGTTGCAAGATACATGTTACATCATGTTGCGTGTGTAGAACATAGTGGACCTCAGGCAGGGTTTAAGTTCCGACGTGTCGGGCACGGAAAGGGCCCGCGGGAAGGCGATGGGCCAAGGGCAAGTTCTCAGGTACACCGAGGAGGGTTGGGGCTAGTTTGCCAACTTGCACCTGCTTTACCCGGACTTGTACGGAGTTATAAACAAGCACATCAAACACATCTAGCAGCATCCAGCAGGCAGATGCAAGTTTGCTGGCTGGCCCTGACTTTTCCTCTGCAGCTGTCAAAGTGCGGCTCCTGGCATCAGTAAATACCTCGCAAAAAGGCGACCGAGGTCTTCCAAGAGATACTGAGGGCCGGAAGTCTCCCAAGCTACGCATGTCAAACCAAGAAGCAAGCTCATGATGACTCCATGGCAACCTACATATATTCATGTTGCCTCAACCCGTTTACGCAGGCCTAAACCCTGGGCCCAAACCCTAAACCCCTGCCACCACAACCAATCTGCAGCCCAGGATTGAGAACATCGCACGGGAGATGGCCCGAGCCTCGCAAAGGTGGCAGAAGCACTGCTTGGAGGTTCGTGGGTAGCTATAAGTAGGGTTATGAGTACCCTAATTGGGGGTATAAGTACCATACTTGTAACCCTACGTATAACTACCCATGAACCGCCAAGTGTAGGCGGACAGTAAGCCTTGTTGGGTGCAACTTGGCGTTGGCTCAGGGCTTAGGGTGTGGATGGGTGAAGAGAATGGTGAAGAGTTTAGGGGATTGGAGAGGTCAACAACGGCTCAAGACAGATGAAAGATCCGACTCGCATACCCCGCACACTTGCAGTTTGATAGTTTGTTCAAGCGAAGCCCAGGCACGACCTCCTTCTCTGTCGGTGCTGGAGAGGAAGGGTCCCATGAGCAGCTGCCCCAGCAGAAATGGTAGGATGGTGCATGCAGATGGAAAGGAAGGAAGAATGTCAACAAGTCAGTGCATGTAAGAGCTTGGAGTGCTCTACATGGGTATTTTGGAGTGGAGTAAACAGATGTAGACGCCAGATCCGTCCGTGTCACTTAAGGTGGGAGACTGCTGTCAGTAGGATCTGGAATCTGGCAGCTCAAGCGCTCTGAGACCTTCCGAAGCCTTGCCGAGCGTGAGGGACACGCCGCAAAGATGACACCATGACGTGATTGATGCCAGTGAATCGGGCCCCACACGTCCTGCGATGCTCTCGTCAAAGCGCTGCCCTCCCCCAGGCCCACCCCCCCTCCCCCCCATTGAAGCATGCCGCCCGCAATGCTACGGCTTGTGGAGGTCTCGAATTTGGCTTACATGGTACCACTCACGAATGCTGACCTTCCCTTGCCTAGCTGACTTGGTGCAACGATGTAGCGACCAACCTGCCCGTTCGGTTCAAGCCGCGGCTCAGCCCATTCCTGCGTTTGCGGGCCCAGGCCAGTGCTTGCCAGTCTTGATCTGTGCTCTGTGTGTGTGTGGGATAGGCATCAAAAAATCACATAAGGATCAAAATAGTAGATAAAATAAGGACCAAACATGCTCAAACATGCTTATGGTCGTGTTTAGTATGAGCGAATATGGGTGATTGCGAACTGCTGATCAACCGTTGGGGTTTCCCGCCTCCATCGACGCATCCTCCTAGATTGGAGGCCTGTAAACGCTGAGCAACTGCTGCTCCGCGGTTTAGGGTTTCGGGGGATTTGGATTTTGGGGGGGGGGGGGGTTCAGGGTTTAGGGTCTATAGGGCTTAAGCTGTAATGGCTGGAAAGACTACAAATTGCCGACGAATACTCGTTGACACATATCCTTCAATCTTGTCGCCGGTTAGGATTGCTAAGGGGGGCCACTCATGGCTTGCAACCTGTAGTACTGTTTAAACGGTTCGGAAATACCTCCGATAGGTCCAATGCGAGGCCCCGGCACCCCTACTCAACCCCCCTACCATCCTTCAGCCCCTCTGCACTCCGACACCCCTGCAGCCCTGCACCCCTGCACTACATCCCTACCCCTGTCACCTTACACTATCCTACACCATGCACTTCTACCTACAGACCAACATACACATTTTACCGGGCCGTGATGGGGTTCGGTTGCGATTTCGATTTATGTATTGATTACGAATCCTAACTTACCACGCAGTGCCCTCCTAGGAACCTCCTTTCAACCATCCCAAGAGCACTCGCAAGCTGTGGCAGTGCATGTCATGGCATGGCCTGCAAAAAGGCCCCCACAGCTTCTAATCGAATGGAATCCTTTCAGCAGACTGAACTTTGAAGAGCAGCAGCGACCTCTGAAGGTATCATAGAACTACGGCATCTAAGCAAATCTCCAAAGACATGGAAGCAGGCAGAGGCGCATCATGGCGCGAATCGGCGCGCCCCGGCTCGGTTCGAGTGTCCTTCGGGAGGTTGGAGGGTCTAGGGTTTAGGGTTTAGGGTTTAGGGTTGGTAATGCAGAGCACCGGGAGCCCGGCCACCACATGACACTTTTGCATTCTGAGTAGGCTTTCGTGGCAGCCCGACTGGCCTGCACGGGTTCACGTCCTTGCCGTTTTGTTAAAGCCGCTCTGTGCATGTGCCGAAAAAAAGCTCGTCTTGGCACTGCCCTGTCTTCGAGGCCTGTAGAACTGCAGCCCGCAGACCGCATGGCAGCGAAACGGACGTTGGGGTTGAAGAAACCCTAAACCCTAAACCCTAAACCCAAAAGCAAAAAACCCTAAACCCTAAACCAGGTCAAGTAGGGCCGCCTCATCTTGCCCCACCCTCCCAGGTTGATTCGGAGCATGGCCTTGTTCCAGACTCCATACTTGGAGGTTCATGGGTAGTTATAAGTGGGGTGAGAAGTATGGGAGTTCTACTTATAACCCCCATTTGGGGTACTGATAACTACCTGTGAACCTCCGAGTCGCCTAATTCAGAGGTCGCCAACTACCAGCACTCCACGGCCACGCCGGTGCTCCAAGACAAGTATTGGAGGGAGAGCGGTGGCCTCAGTTTTTACCCCCTGCTGCTCCAGGGTAAGATTCCACAAGTACGATTCATCTGAGGAGCGAGAACTTGTGAAATCTCATTCGGGTGCATGGCACGGATGTCCTCGGAACTTTGTGCGCTCGCCAACCGAGCATAGTGAGTAAATGGCGCGGCCCAGGAAAATCGGGGTGGCTCGATGAACACGGGCAAGCCCGAATTGACAAGACCCTGCCCTTCACCTACAACAAGCTCTAATCTTTGGTCGCTGAGTTGAGCCAACAGCTTGAAAGAGGCTAAAAGCGGCGAAGCCACTCAAGCGACTCTAGAACCTTACAGCCTTCGGCTCTCTTGCCCTGCACCGAAACTGCGTACGAAGGGCTTTGAATTGGCCACGGAGACCGCCGAATGGCATCACCGCGAGAATCCTCGTCAGCTCAGCAAGAGCACTGTCAGCCCCCGACGAGGGCATCATCAGCATCTGCCGAGGCTTTTGCCCGACTTCGGGCATGGAATGCTCGTGGAGTCGGGGAAGGGTCAGGGCCCCTGGTTTCTGGCGAGTGAAGCCGGACACGTCACATCCACCCTGTGGGGCGTGGCACGCTTTGCCTTTAAGCTTTGCTCTGCTTCCTACGTCTCTACTCGCACCTTGCGGCTAGAGTTCTCGCGCTCCAGGCAGATTCTAGGTTCGGGCTTGCGAGATAGTGCACACCCTAAACCCTCATCCCAAAACCCCGAAACCCTCACCCCAAAACCCTAAACCCCAAACCCTAAACCCCGAAACCCTAAACCCCAAACCCTAAACCCTCATCTCGACAGGAGTTGCCTCGCCCGCTTGTGCCAGTGTGAGAGTCGAAACCCTCATCCCTAAACCCCTACAACCCCGAAACCCTACACCGCCTTATCCCAGCTCTGGAGCGCGGACAGCGGGATCATGCCTTCAGCGTCTTCAATGACCCATTCCCGAAGGCGGTTCGGGGGGTTTAGGGTTTAGGGTTTAGGGGTTTAGGGTTTAGGGTTTAGGGTTTAAGGTTTAAGGTTTAGGGTAGGGTTTAGGGTCTAACCTGCCGACTGCCCAAGCCTGGATGCAAAAAGGGTTTAGAGCAAATTCAAAAGTCTAGGGTTCAGGGTTGAAAAGCAAAAGGTAGCCTTTCTCGGGAGATTCAAAAAAAAACAGGTCTTGAACATTATTTTGGGAGGGTTCGGATCGGGATGCCCAAGCGTTGGACATCGTGATGGCACCCAGTTCCAACTACACAGGCTCTCAAGCAACCCCCATTCATCAAAACACGCACCAACCAGTCCTCTTTGAAGCAATGATCAAACAAAGCAGCGCCCAAGGCACTATCACTAGTTCACCCCAGAGCCTGGTCCCTCAACGGCTACCGCCCCCTAAGAAAGGGCGTTCCCTGCGCGCCTGTACAGGCCAGCTACGCATACCTGAATACCACATCCAATGACTTCTTGGGACGAACCTGGCAGGTGCGCGTATGGGAGGTCGAGGGTTTGGGTGTTGAGGGTTTAGTCCAAAGGGGGATGCAAAAGGGTTGAAGGCGTTGACGGCTTAAATGTTCGATTGTCTTGGCAGTTGCTTTTGGCGTTTTTGGCATTTTGGTGAGGAGGATAGTGTGTTGGAGGGGGGGGCCCTAAACCCTAATCCAGAAACTCTAAACCCTAAATCCTAACCCTAAACCCGAAACCCAGGTTGAAGGGCGTTTAGTGTTTAGTGCTTAGGGGCTTCGCATGTCTAGGATCCAGGACTTGGATTTCTCCCAGAAAAAGACCACGAAGCACCAAGTCACGAAAACTCGCGCCGGCTCGAGTTTCAGAAGCAACCTACTTGAAGGTTCATGGGCGCTTAATCCCCGAATTATGACGATGTTAGCCCTAAACCCTAAACCCTAAACCCTTTAGAACTGTACTTTATCAGCCCCCTGAGTCACATAGGAAATATTGGCATCGAGCAGGCCACGGGGCCATATGCTCCCAAATAGGGTTTAGGCTTTAGGCTTTAGGGTTTAGGGTTTAGGCTTTAGGCTTTAGGCTTTAGGCTTCAGGCTTTAGGGTTTAGGGTTCAGGCTTCAGGCTTTAGGGTTTAGGGTTTAGGGTTTAGGCTTTAGGGTTTAGGGTTTAGGGTTTAGGGTTCAGGCTTTAGGGTTTAGGGTTTAGGGTTTATGTTTTGAAAGTTCGAGCCGGCTCGAGCTTTCCAAAATCATCCAAAGCAAGGGGGGTCGAGAAAAAGCGAGCCGGCTTGAATCTTCAACAAAACTTGAAGTTTTACGATACATGGCCGTTCCGGCTTCATAGATGTCCAAATCTCGTTGTTTTTGACTACCCGGATATTCATGATATAGCCCGCGATACAGCCGTGATTAGCGATCACGCGCTAGTCAAGTGATCGCTAATCCCGCCTTCCCCCAAGTTCAAAATCTGAACATTCAGATTACACAAATTGCAATTTGGGAGTTGATTTGGCTAGCACAACTGAATGTCAACTTTAGTTCTTGAATACGTAACCATGTAGATTTCACACCCCTGACGCAGCTGTAGGCAGATCATCATTGCACAGTTATATTGCTTGAATGGCCGGGAATATTGGAAGACAATGAATGAAAGCTACTGGAACAACCAGTCGAAACAGTTTGTTCTAACAATATTCTAATCAGGGGCTCCTTTTTCATTTGGCAATTCGGGCCAGTTAGATTCATTTGATGAAGAAACGATGGCTTGTAGCTCCTAATCTTCAGAAGAGCTCATTTATGAAGTGGATAAAACAGAGGATCAGGTTGTACCGTTACTACTTAGGGATGAGTTCCTCCAAACTTACAATACAAGATCAGCGTTTGAGATGGGTTGATTGTACATGCAATTTCGATAATGTAGCTGATTTTCGCATTTGTAAGTCGCAGTTTTGTAGAAGGTCTGTGCGCTAAGTT